AGATATGGTTTCATAATAATTCAGATTCTAAAAAAGTTTCAAATAAAAAAACGAATTTCTAATTTTCTCAAAATGTTCAAGAATTATAAAATACTCATGAATTCAAAAAATATTCATTATTTTTAAAAATGTTCACGAAATCATCAAATGTTAGCGTATTCAAGAAAGTTTGTGATTTTGGACAAATGTTCACAAAAAATATTTCCCAAAATTCAGAAAATGTTCACGAATTTATAAAATTTTCAGAATTTAAAAATAATTTTCGTAAAAAAATATTTGGGAATTTCAAATAATGTTCGTTGATTCATAAAAAATGTTCATGTGTTTAATTTTTTCCAAAATTCTAAAAAGAGTCGTTATTTTTTTTTAGAAATTTAAAATAATGTGACAGATTCATAAAAAATCTTGAGTATATTTTTTTGCAAAAACAACTTAGCAAATTGGTAGAAAATACTGACTAGTTTAGAAACTATTACTGACTTAAAAAATGAATTGTTCACAATTTTTAGAAAATGTTCACATATTAAAAAATATTAATGATTTCTAAAAATGCTTAGGATTTCAAAAACAAAATCACGAAGTTCAAAGAGTTTCGCAAAACAAGAAGAAGAAAAAAAACAGCTCACAAGCAAAGTGGGCCGGCCCATTCAGGATTTGTTTAAGTGAAGCAACTCCTAATTTGGGACGCACACTGGCGTCAAATAGGAGCTCTCAATGATGAACACATGTCTTTTTTCAGAAGTCTAGGAGCATGGTTTTTTTTCAAGCAACATGAAGCATGGGTTGGGTTACTCACTTAGAGCATCTCTAGCAGATCTCCTACAAGGGGCCATCCAGAATAATAACCGCCGATTTAGCGGACGATGGCGTTTTATTCGCCCCGAAGAGATCCCGCAAAATTGGCCATCTTGTAAAAAAATTGCGGAGTCATACATAATCCGGGCCTCACCCCGTAGATAATCAAGATTGGAGCCCTTTTTAGGGACCCGTTAAACAAAAAACGGTTGGCGGAAGGGAGGTTTCAGCTCCCACCATGGTCTTCTGGCCGTCGCCCGCGACCTGCATCCACCGCTCGCTGCCGGACATGCCAGCGGCAGAAGAGCTCGCCCTGGCCACATGGCACGGCAGCAATGCGCTAGCTAGCTAGCTAGACGCGTACGTGATTTGCTAGCTAGCTAGCAAGGCAGCAACAAGGCCTCGACCTCGGGCGCGAGCAGGAGCTCGGTTTGCGTCCGTCGTGGTGCGTGCCAACCGTGGCGACAAGAGGAGCCTCTGGCCAGACGAGCCTCCTGACGTGCGTGTGGTGCAGGCGATCGGCAGGCCAGCGAGGGCGAGTGCACGGCAGCAAGAGCTCGGCCGGCGCGGGCACGACCTGGTAATCGAAAGACCCAATTGTAATTCAGATTGCGCTTTTAGGAGGTTCTATGTAGGGTGCATTGATTTTTTTATAGGATCTGTTCTAGCAGAAAAAAATCATACGGTAAAAACATGAACAACGTTTTGCAGTATCCCGTAAACAGATTTTACGGTATGAGGTTTTAGGGGATGATAGAGATGAGCTTACTCAGTTCTCTCACACCCCCTAAAATAGTGTTGACTAGGCCGAACTGCCAGCCCAATGAAACCGCTCCACATACCACC